AGTTTGAGATAGGGTGCCAGTTTGTTTGGGTTCTGGCGAGGGCTGTGTTCCCACCTTGCTGACAGCCACCTTTTTGCTGCATCCCCACGTGGTGGAAGGAGCTCAGGTGTCTCTTCCACTTCTCAGAAGTGTACCAGTTACAGGATCAGGACTCTACCCCATGACTTCATGTAACTGTAATCACCTCCTTCTGGCCCCTTTCTCCAATATAGTCCCTGGGGGGGTTAGGGCTTCAACATACAGATTTGGGAGGGAGGAGTATAGTTCAGTCCATAGCAGACACCTATGCACTGATAGGTTTTCTAGAGTCTTCTGTGAAAGACGTGTTAACTCTAAGGTGAAAAACAAGCCAGGACTGGATATTCTAGGCAGAAATTCCCATTGTTGGAAGGTCTGTTATGGCTGTTATGAATGGGCTGTGAACCCAAGGATAATAGTTCACAAAGTAGATTAGGAGGTCTGTAAGCAGCTGGGACTGCTGTTTAGATATAGTTTAGATATAGCTGGGACTGCTGCTTTAGATATAGTTCTGAAATTGTTAGCAAATTCAGTGGGGGAAATCTAATTACTTTGGAAAAAATGGATGTCTATGCTTCATACTAGGGATGAATTTTCCTAATATCAGCAGTTTTCACTGAAATGCATAAAAAATAAGATGCATTGAGGGGTAGAGGGATACCAGATGCATGGGTTTGTGATAGGCAAATGGAGTAAAATGTTAATTGTAGAATCGGGTAGTGAGTATATGGTTTCACAGTACAGTTTTTTCAACTTTTTTTTTTGCAGTTTTTGGCCGGGGCTGGGTTTGAACCCGCCACCTCCGGCATATGGGGCTGGCACCCTACTCCTTTGAGCCACACATGCCGCCCAGTTTTTTCTTTTGTGAGTAAATTTTTTCAAAATAAATTGTTGGAGAAAAGGATACCTAAATATATTTTTAAGAACACAATTATTGGCTCACCCTATCTATTATAAACATTAAATCATTAACATGGGCTTAGCGCCTGTAGCATAGTGGTTATAGCACCAGCCACATACACCAAAGGTGGCGGGTTCAAGCCTGGCCTGGGCCAGCTAAGCAACAATGACAACTGCAAAAAAAAAAAAACTGGGTGCGGCTTGGCGCCTGTGGCTCAAGTGGCTAAGGTGCCAGCCACATACACCTGAGCTGGCGGGTTCGAATCCAGTCCAACCATGCCAAACAGCAATGATGGCTGCAACCAAAAAATAGTTGGGTGTTGTGGTGGATGCCTGTAGTCCCAGCTATGTGGGAGGTGGAGGCAGGAGAATCGCTTGAGCCCAGGAGTTGGAGGTTGCTGTGAGCTGTGACACCACAGTGACAGCTTGAGACTCAGTCTCAAAAAAAAAAAATCATTAACATGGACTTCTTTAACTTCACTAATATTTTTTTTCTTTCCTGGTATTTCTCCTTTCTATTTTGTTAGTTCCTTCAGATCTTCGTTTTCATGAGTTGCTCCCTCCAGGAAATTTCCCCTGACCTTCTAGCGTGATTTAGATATCTCTCTTCTGCGTTCCCAGAGCACCTCTTGTATACTTTGGCCGTAGCGTTCACCACCCTATAGTGTAATCATTTACTTACTAATCTGTCTGGACTACCAGACTTAAGAGTTTCTTGAGGACAAAGACCATGTTTCTGGAATGCTTTTAGTACAAGTGAAACCAAGAACCATAATACATGCGCTATCTGTGGCTTAAAGTTAAGTATCTTACCTTTACTACTAGGAATCTGGAGATGGCCATTCCGGGATTGGTTCAGTGAGGGACACATGGGTGGCGCCTCTGTCCTTCTTCTGTCCTTTCCTTTATCACGCCAAGTTGGCAGAAGTAGTGATGTACCCTGGAAATACCCACCATGGTCATTTCGGTTTTTGAGCTTTTAGCACAGAAGTTTTGGGAAATATCCGTGGATTTCTTGAATAGTTTTCAATTCACTTATTATTGTTTATCCTAGAGAAATTGATTTTGTTTTTGAAAATAGAAGTTTAGAGTTAGATATCTACATGTATTTTAAAGGCTCTCCCCCCCATCCTAGAAAAATATTTATTTATTTTCAGACAACTATAATGAAAAATTCAGAGAAATTGTGTGTGAGGCTGATGATCTGGAGTTTGCAGCCTCAACCTCAGCTCTATAGGAAACAGTGTGGACCAGAAATGAGGCCAGAAATAGTTTCACATTCCTCAACTGCAGCCTTTTGGGAAGGGCTGCCCCTTATCCCGTTTATTCTATTTTAGTCATAATTCAAATGTGCTTAATTATCTAGCTAATTGCTTAGCTAACTTATTAAAAAGCATGTAATTAGCAAAGGGGAGTGTAGGGAGCGCCTGGTGTAGGCAGGTAAACTGTCAGTGTAAGAGGGGAGAAGCAGGTGTGCCGTCTGAGTCCAGCAGCCAAGGCCATTCACTTACATGATGAGTGAGAAAGGGCTTAATTATGGAAGTTCAATGCGCTGTTTCACAAGACAGTTGAATAAAATGCACGAAAAATAACTTGCAAAGCTACATAAATACAATCTCAAATGGGTTTTAAAAGTGGGCATATAGAGATCAAAATTCTAGGAGAAAATACACTTTTAATAGTAAATATCTCTGGGTGGCAGGATCATAGGTGCTTTTCTTTTAAAAAAGATAGTTGTGTATTTTGTGAATTTGCTACTGAGCTTCATGCTTTTCATTTTAAATACTTAAAAAATGCTTTAGGCATTCAGAGTGGTTCTTGTTCAACTCCATCTGGTCTCTTGATAATGTCATTTTTTTTTTTTTTTTACATTTTGCTCTTTGTTAAAATTGATCAAATAATACTTTTTATAGTATCTGTCTGAGATGGTCTGCTTGTTATGCCTGTTGACTCTTGTGAATGGTGATCTTCTTGTGTGTTTCTTTTTCTTTTTTTTTTTTTAGACAGAGTCACAATATGTCACCCTTAGTAGAGTGCTACGGCATCACAGCTCACAGCAACCTCCAACTCTTGGGCTTATGCGATTCTCTTGCCTTGGCCTCCCAAGTAGCTGGGACTACAGACACCCACCATAACACCTGGCTGTTTTTGTTTTTGTTGTTGTTGCAGTTGTCATTATTGCTTTAGCTGGCCTGGCTGGGTTTACCCACCAGCCTCAGTGTATGTGGCTGGCGCTGTAACCACTGTGCTATGGGCGCTGAGCCCTCTTGTGGGTTTCTTGAGTTGGAATTGTGGGCTTTTGCTATAGCTCCTCTGCAGTCTTATTGCAGAAGATTTTGTTTAGCACTCTGTCTGGGGCTCCAGCACTTTGTGACTGGCTGGGACTACTTTTCGTGTGACTTAGTGGTGGTGTTAGAGAAGTGTGTGGTTACAGATTTTAGGGATGACAACCTTCAGCAAGAGTCCAGGCAGATAAAATTCCTTGTCCTTGTCCTCTGTTAGTGGATGGATGTTTTTCTAAATGTCTTGACTTCTCAGTTCTCTATTGAGAAGATGTCTCAGTCTTGACTCACCTGTGCAGATGTCTCATCTCTTAGCCCTTTGTGTGTGTGAATCCTAAAACAGTAATCATCCAGGACTGTAGGAACTGAGGCTCTTACTGCCTGGGTTCTATCCCCTCTCCCCAGGAGGGGGATTTCTTACTTTCTTTTGAGCTCAGCTGTACATTTAAGAGCAGCTCTCAGCCTTGGGTGCCCATTATCATCTCCTGGGAATCTAGAATTTCCACGTCCAGGATGCATCCCAGACCATTTCCATCAGAATCTCTGGGGTGTTCCTTAGGCTCCCCAGAGATGCTTTTGTATAGCCAGGAATGGGAGGCACTGAGTTAAAGTGAGCTTGTTTTATTTTACCCAAAGATGTATATGTTGTATGTATGTATTTATGTTTCTATTAGCGATATTTTCAAGTTATCTTGTCATCAGTAATGGAACTAGAAGCTTATCATGTTATAATTAGAAAAACCTTTCCCTTAAAATTAGATAGGAAGGAAACCAATGTTTATTAATTTCCAACTGTGTTGGGCACTGGTTAGACCTTTCACATATGTTATCTCATTTACTCCTGGGACAGTCCTGCCAGGTAGGTGGTTTACTTGTTTGCTGGCAAGAAAACTAGTTTGGGGAGAAATTGAATAACTAGGTCCAGGTCAACCAGCTCACGAACAGCAGAACCAGACAGACCCACCAGATGCTCAAGTCCTGTCCTTCTCCTTTGCTGTGATTATATGTGAAATAAAGATTTTCCCATACAAATTGGTTAAAATAAAGATTGGCACTTAGGTCGCAATAGCTTCCAGGTACCTGTTAAATTTCCTTCCTTGACGTGCTTTGTCTTCCCACGATGCCAGGGTTGCTCCTCTTGTTTCATGTTACTTCTGATAAGAGTAAATGGATTTTGACCAATAGATCGTTACTTTAGAAAAGCTTAACTGGTTTTAGTAAGCTCCTTTAAATAAACCCGGAGTGAACAACTGATTTCTTCTTCTTTTAACTGTCATGTGTCATGCAGAGACCTTATCTTTCAGCTCAGCTCCTTAATCCAGCGGAGGGCTGTGTGACTGTGAGTGCGTGTGTATGTGGGGTGTGTCGGGAAGTGGAGGATACAAGGGCAAGGAGAAGAGAGAGAATAAAGAGCTGGAGCAACGCTGAGGTCCCCAAGCTGTTCACGGTGGGACCAGATGACTCGGGGAAAGGAAACAGACTTGGAGTGGGCTGGTCATTGTGCCTCAGTAAAGTCCTATTGAGGGAGCAGTGATTTTTAGTGACAGCGTCCTAGTGACACAGGTGTGGAATGTGTGCTCCTGTTTCTTCTCTCTTGACTTGTCTTTGCTCTGGCCATGGCTCTGCTGAGTAAATGACATCCAGGGTTGTTGGAGGGTTTTATCTCTGCCCAGAGCCTAGACGATCGCTTCTCTGTTGGAATGTTGTCTGGGTTAGGCTTTTCTGGAGGGCATGAAGACATTTGATTTCAACTGGATAGAAAACAAAGTGTGTCTAAGTCTTTGTCTTTGTCGTCAGCAGCTCTTCAACTGGGGCTTCTCTCTGTGTGTTGCAACCTCGGAAAACCAGCAGGATGGCTGCGAACAAGAGTAAGGGCCAGAGCTCTTTGGCCCTCCACAAGGTGATCATGGTTGGCAGTGGAGGGGTTGGCAAGTCGGCGCTGACTCTTCAGTTCATGTATGACGAGGTAAGACGTGCCAGGCCCAGACTGCCTTTGTGTTGGCATCTGTCATAGCAGAGTCCCTACGCCAGCTGTGTTACTCTCCCCATCTCCCCTATGTGTAGGGCTTCATTGAGAAAATCTGAGCTAAGGTCGTTTCTGAACAGCTTTCTAGGGAGGTCTAACCAGCATAAGATCTAGATTGCTAATTTTAGGTAAGTGATCTCAACTCTGGCAGGGATTTAGGGGTCTCTGCCCACATTAATTCCATTGTTAAATTTCAAGCTTTGTTTTCTATCTGGGTGGGGGAAGTGGTAGAGAGTGGGCTAAAGAACATGTCAGGTATTCAGTGTTGTGACTAATCGGTTTGGAGAGAGTGAAAGGGAAGCTAAATTGTCACAGGAACTTAATCATTTTTTCCCAAGTGATGGACATCAAGTTCTCCCTAGTTCTCCCATGCAGCAAGATAAAGAAAGGTTGTATTATCCTTTCCCAAAATTTGCATCACTTAATGTGGGTAGAGTGACTAGTATTGAGTCCATTTCAGTAACACAGCCTGGATTCCTAGCAGCCAGAGCCCCTGCTTGATAGCCATTTGCTGGTATGGTCAGACCTCTGTATCTGTGGGTTCTGACAACAACAAGGAGTGGGCATCAGCCCCATATGCTGGGGGTGGTGGGTTCAAACCTGACCCTGGCCAAAAACTGCAAAAAAAAAAAAAAAGGGTATAAAAACTATTTACATAGCATTTGCATCATACTGGGTATTTTTAAGTAATCTAGAGATGATTTAAAGTATATAGGAGTTATATGCGAATATTATGCCATTTATGTAAGGACTTGAACATCCCAAATTTTGTTGTCCGTGGGGTTCCTAGAACCAATCCCTTGGGGATACCAAGGGATGACTGCAGTACAGGCAGGGAGAGTGTTCAGGGAGGAGCTGAAATCTCAGAGCCTCTCCCTTACATTGCATCCTCACAGTTTTATGAAATTTATAAAAGGAAGGTGTGACAACCACAGTTAACCAATACTGTGCCATGTATTGGCTTCCTTTCATTAAACATTCCTTTTATCTTGCTTCCCTATGTTGGGTGCAAGTGGAGTGGCCACAGGCATTTTCCCCATCTCACTGAGGGAAGTTATGTTTGTGTGGTTTGGAGTCACTTAGCATGTGGTTGAGTTACTGCTAGCTGTAGGGATTCTCCTGCCCACGGTGCTGACTCAGAGCATTGTGATTTGAGGTGCAGGGCTGGGGGGATCCCCATATGAATGTGTCCTATGGCAGCTGGCATTGTACATGTGTGGATGGTGGAGAAACAAAGGTCAAAACATGTGGTGCTAGAAAGTCCTCCAGAAAGTTCTTCCAGCTATTACAGCTTCTTATAGCAAAGTAACAGAGAAGCTTTAGAGGTTTCCTAAATTTTGACAGTAGTCTTAAAACTTTCATTACTGGTAATGTCGTGTAGTTGTGAAGCTAAAAAATTGTTTGAACTATGAATACAGGGGAGGTTTTTAATTAACCATGCTGGAGGAAATTATTTTTTTATTCTCCATTAGAAGTATTTCATAATCATTGGCATATGATAAAAGAATATATAGCAAACAAAAAGTAGAAGGTATTCTAGAGGTATGTCAGGCAGTTTCAATTAGTGGAAATATTGCATTATTTTGCTATATTTTGTGATGTCAGTGCTATTTGTATTAGTTTTTATTGCTGTGTGACAAATAATCACCAATTTAGCAGGTTGAAACAACATATATTTATTGTCTCATAATTTCCATGGATTAGGGATTAGAATGTGGCTTATTTGGGTCCTCTGCGCAGAGTCCTGCAAGGCTCTAATCAAGGTGTATAGGGGCTGGGACCTCATCTGAGGCTCAGCTTCCTCTTCCAAACTTACTGACTGTTGGCAGCATTCAGTTCCTTGTGAGTGGGGGACTTACTAGGCCTTCAGCGTCTCTGTAAAGGCTTCCTACAGTTCCCTGCTGCATGGCCCTCTCCACAGTTTACACCATAGCGGCATGCTGCTGGTGCCAGTCTGAGATGATGAAATAGAGTCGGGGGATACTCCCTTCATCGTTGGCATATTCCCCTCCCTAAGGGTCCGGGGTCAGGGTTGTGTTTGCCTTAGTATTTGTCTTTAAGCCTTTATAATGGATTATGATTTCTTTTCCAATTCTAGATAGTTATTTTTGTATTCAGTTCTATGTGTGTAATTTTATATTCTTAAGGAGGCGCCCCCCAAATGACCAAAACCTGGATCTCCTCCTGAGAAACCACCCCCCCACGTTTTATAACAAACTTTGGTGTTTGATGCCTGCTTTACTTTATCTTATCCCAGGGGCCAAAATGGGTAGATTTCATAGGATCTGCTGCAGAATTTACACAAAGCATTTTTGTATAAAAGAGAGGCAAGTTGAGAAGTCTGCTTTGAGAGTCTTGTTTGTTTTTACTTAAAAACTTGTAATTTGCTTTACCAAAAGTTTTTTTTCCCTCCCATAATGGAGGTTGGTGAAAAGAGGGGAATTTGATTAGGGAGATAGGATTAGAGAAGTAGTTGTTAATGGGTGGGAAGGAGGATTTTGTCTCCCCAAGGCATATTGGGCAAAGCCCAGAGACCGTCACAGCTGGGGTGAGTGTCTAGTGAGTAGAGGCCAAGGATGCTGCTGAACATCCTAGGATGCACGGGACACTCCTGCTTCCCAGCAAAGAATTAGCCAGTACAAAATAATCAGAACTGCCACTTTTGAGAAACCCGGTAGGTATTAGAGGCAGAGCCGTGGCAGATCAGAGGAGGGAAGATTTCCCTGCATTCAGTGTAGGTGATTGAGAGACTCCAGGATGTCCAGTCTAAGAGCAAGTTCAGATCCAGCCCAAATCTGTTTACTTTGAGAGTAGGATCCACTCTACTCAGCACTGCTGCTGATAGCATAGAAGACCAGGAGAACCTAGTCTGGGGTTTCGTTTTTGTTAAGTATGTATGTGTGTGTGTGTGTGTATGACAAGCGAGAAGGGGGAAAGATGCATGCAGAAAGGTCGTGAGGTTTTCTCTTCCTCCGTGTTTCTCTGTAGAGACCCGGGAAAGCTGTGCTTGACTTACCCTGTGTTTCTCATGGGCTGACTTACACATTTGAGTACTGGAAGTATTGAAGAAATAGTGAAAGAAATTTAGATGTAAATTAATGATGACCATGTACCATTAAATTGAAATGATACTAGTATAATTGGATATTCTCATGTAAAAGCATTCTACCCAGGGCAACAAATTGAGACTCTGTCTCAAAAAGAAAGAAAAGAAAATTTAAGTTACGGCTTTTATAAGATATAATTCACATACCATGAAATTCACTCTTTTAAACTATACAATTTAATGTGTTTTTTTAATATATTCATACAGCTGGGCAGTTTTCATCATTATCTAATTTTAGATCATTATCACTCAACAAAACCCCAAACCCTGAATGTTAGCAGCCTTCCCCATACTTACCCCTGTCCCACCCCTGGCCTCTGGCTGTCTCTTTCTGACTCTGTGGGTTTGCCTCCTCTGGACATTTGGTATAATTGGAATCATACCGTATGTGGCCTTTTTGTCTGGCATCTTTTGCGTAGCATAATGCTTGGAAAGTCCATCCATGTCGGAGCATAGTGGTCACTTTCCCCTTCCTGCTTTCCCCAGCCTGAGCAACTAACTACTCGTCTACTCCCTGTCTTCACGGATTTGTCTGTTCTGGATTTCTCTTATAAATAGGTGGCTATGATCCGTGACCTTTTGTGCCTGGTTTCTTTTACTTCTGATGGCCTGTTAAGCTTCATCCATGTTGGAGCATGAATCAGCACTTCATTCCTTTTTGTGACTGAATGATAATTCCACTGTCTGGATACGGCACATTACGATTTTCCATCTACCGACTGATGGACTTTTGGGTTGTTTCTGCTTTTTGGCTATTATAATAATGTTGCCATGAATAGTTATGTACAAGAGTTTGTGTAGATGTGTAGACACGTGTCTTAAACTCTCTTGGGTATATACCCAGGTGTGGGATTGCTGGGTCATATGGTAAAGGAGTTGCAGATCTGGTTTCCACAGGAGCCGTACCATTTACAGTCCCCACAGCAGTATGTTCCACTTTTTCCACATCTTGTCAACACCTGTCATTGTCCATGTTTTTTATTATAAGCGTCCTAGTGGGCACAAAGTAGCATCTCATTGTGATTTTGATTTGCATTTCTCTAATGACCAGTGATGATGGGTGTCTTTTCATGTGTTTATTGGCCATTCGTGTATCTTCTTTGGAGAATTATCTATTCAGATTCTTTGCCTAATTTTTAGTTGGGTTATTTGTTGAGTTGGGTCATTTGTTGTTGCGTTTTAGATTTTATATATTACAATTCCCTCATTAGTTATGATTTGTGAATATTACCTCCCATAATCTTTGGATTGTCTTTTCACTTTCTTGATGGTGTCCTTTAAAACCTGAAAGTTTAAATTTTTTTATGAAGTCCAGTTTACATATTTTTTTCTTTTGTCAAGCTTATGCTTTTGGTGCCATATCTAAAAATCCATTGTTAAATCTAAGGTCATGAAGATTTGTACCTACGGTTTCTTCTAAGATTTGATGGTTTTAGCATTTACATTTAGATCCTTGATCCATTTTGAGTTAATTTTTATATGTAGTATGAAGGGGGGTATTTAAATTCATGCTTTTACATGAGAATATCCAATTATACTAGCATCATTTCAATTTTAATGGTACATGGTCATCATTAATTTACTTCTAAATTTCTTTTTTTTTTGGCCAGGGCCAAGTTTAAACCCACCACCTCCAGTATATGGGGCCAGTGCCCTACTCCTTGAGCTACAGGTGCCGTCCTTCTTCTGAATTTCTTAATTTCTAACTTGAATGCTAGCATCATTAAGATTACTTACTTAATATATAATTTAATATAAAGAAAATAGCTTAGCAATATTAATATCATTGTTACTAAATGGTACAATGACTAATGGAAGTTCAGAATTCCTTAGGATTTCTTTGTTCCCAGTCTTTTTTTTTTTTGAGACAGTGTCTCACTGTGTCATCCTCAGTAGAGTGCGATGGTGTCACAGCTCACAGCAACCTCCAGCTCTTCGGCTTAAGCAATTCTCTTGCCTCAGCCTCCCAAGTAGCTGAGACTACAGGCGCCCACCACAACCCTGACTATTTTGTTGTTTAGCAGGCCTGAGCTGGGTTCGAACTTACCAGCCCCAGTGCGTGTGGCCATCACCCTACCCACTGAGCTACTGGCACCGAGCCTACCCTCAGTCTTTCTAAGTGAGATGCATTCCATCAAAGTACTCTGTCCTGAAGTTTCTTAAATTAATTAAATTCTTCTTCTTTGTGGTTTTATTACCAATTTCATATTAATTTATATTCATTTCCTTCAGTTTTTCTTCATTTTCCTTCAGCTTTACATTTGCTTGGTTTGTTCTTCCAGGACATCTTTTTGGCAAATATATACACACATGTGCATGTACACACACACACGGAGAGAGAGAGAGAGAGAGAGAGAGGGAAAGAGAAATGCTATGTAGCTATAAAGATATATATGTGTGTGTATAAGTTACATATATAAAACTTCACTCTTCCTACTTGTGCAAAAGGTTGACTATTATGTTCTGGGGATCTCCACATATCTGATTGTAAGTATCTGCCTCACTTTTTATTTAGCTACATGGTATTCTGTTATGTGAGTCCTTACTGTTGAGCACTTGGGAAGTTTTTAATCTTTAACTGTTACACAGTGAATTACCCTGTATGTTCTTATGCAGGTGTTTCTGTAGATTAGCAGAGATAAGTGCTTCTCTCCTTTTACCAGATGTTTCCATTCCTCTCCATAGGGATTATCCTTTTTTCTACTCTCGCTGGCAGTGTGCCAGAAGACCTTTCCCCAAAGTATGTTAGACTTTTGTGCTTTTTCTAGCCTAATAGGTGAAAAATGGCACAGGGATACTTCACTTCATCATGTCTCACTTTCTCATGTACCGCAGGTAATGTGCTTTTTTTACAGATTGAAGGTTTGTGGCAACCCTGTGTTTTCCAGTCTGTGGACACTGGTTTTCCAACAGCATGTGCTCGTTTCTTATCTCTGGGTCACAGTTTGGTAATTCTCAAAATATTTCAAGCTTTCTCATTATTATTATATCTGTTATGGTGACCAGTGATATTTGGTGTTACTATTGTAATTGTTTTGGGGTACCACGACTCGCACCCATATAAGACGGTGAACTTAATTGATACACGTGGTGTATGTTTTGACTACTCCACTGACCGGCAGTCCCCTGGCTCTGTCCCCCTTCCCCCATCTCTCTCCCTCTTGGGCCTATTTCCTGAGACACAACAATATTGAAGTTAGACCAGTTAATAACCTTGCAGTGGCTTCTCAGTGTTCAGGTGAAAGGGAGAGTTGCAGGTTTCTCATTTTAAGTCAAAAGCTAGAAATGATTAAGCTTAGCAAGGAAGGGATGTTGAAAGCCCAGATAGAACCCTAGGCCTTGTTAGCCAGTTAGCCAAGTTGTGAAAGCAAAGAAAAAGTTCTCAGAGGAAATTAAAAGTGCTAACTCCAGTGAATACATGAATGATAAGAAACTAAACCAGGGGTCCTCAAACTTTTTAAACAGGGGGCCAGTTCACTGTCCCTCAGACCGTTGGAGGGCCAGACTGCAGGCCCCAGGACGAACTGGCTGCTAAGCAGGACAGGCAGCGGCGGCAAAAACACCCAGTGGGCCAGATAAATGTCCTAGGCGGGCTGCATGTGGCCCACGGACCGTAGTTTGAAGACGCCTGAACTAAGCAGGCTTATTGCTGATATGGAGAAAGTGTCAGTGGTCTGATAGAAAATCAAACTAGCCACAACATTCCCTTAAGCCAAAGCTTGATCCAGAGCAAGGCCCAAACTCTTCAATTCTGTGAAGGCTGAGGGAGGTGAGGAAGCTACAGAAGAAAAGTTTAAAGCTGGAAAAGATTGGTTTATGAGGTTTAAGGAAAGAAGCCATCTCCATAAAAGTACAACATGAAATAGCAAGTGCTAATGTAGAAGCTGCGTCAAGTTATCCAAAAGATCTAGCTAAGATCATTGATAAAGGTGACAACAGGTTTTTGATGTGACAGCCTTCTTTTGGAAGAAGATGCTGTGTAAGGACTTCCAGAGCTGTAGAGGAGGAAGTCAGTGCCTGACCTCAGAGTTTCAAAGGGCAGGCTGATTCTCTTGTTAGGGGCTAATGTAGGGGTGACTTTAATTTGAAGCCAAAGCTCATTTAACATTTCAAAAATTCTAGGGCCCTTAAGAGTGGTGCTAAATCTGCTCTGCCTATGCTCTATAAATGGAGGACCAAAGCTTGAATAACAGCGCTTCTGTTTACAGTGTGGTTTACTGAATACTTTAAGCCCACTGACTGTTGAGACCTACTGCTCAGAAGATTCCTTTCAAAATATAACTGTTCATTGACAATGCCCCTGGTCACCCAAGAACTGTGATGGAGATGTTCAAGGTTAATGAACATCTCCATCGAATGCCTGCTAACACAGTATCTATTCTGCAGCCCATGATCAAGGAGCAATTTTGACTTTCAAGTCATATTATTTAAGGCATATATTTCACAAGAATATAGCTGCCATTGATAGTGAGTCCTCAGATGGATTTGGGTAAAGTAAGCTGAACATTTTCTGGGAAGGTTTCATTCTAGATTCCATTAATAAGATTTGTGGTTCATGGGAGGATGTCAAAATAGCAATGTTAACAAGAATTTGAAAGAAGTCGATTCCTACCTCATCAAAGATTTTGAGGGGATTAGTACTTCAGTGGAGTATCAGGAGAATTAGAACTAGAAGCAGAGCTTGAAGATGTGACTGAATTGCTGCAGTCTCAGGATACAACTTCAGTAGATGAGGAATTGGTTGGATTCTAATGGATGAGCAAAAAAAGTAGTTCCTTGAGATGGAACCTATTCCTAGTGAAGAGGCTATGAATAGTTTGGAATTGAAAACAAAGGATTTAAAATATTACAATAGCATTTGAGAGGATTGACTTGAATTTTGAAAGAAATTTTGTGAGTAAAATTGCATGCTACAGAGAAATTTTATGTGAAAGAAAGAGTCATTCAATGTGACAAACTTCTTGTCTTATATTAAGAAATTACCTCAGCCCTCAGCAACCACCAATCTGTATCCATTGCCCACTTTTCCTCACTGGATCATTGACTTTTTTTGCTATTTCGGGGGGGGGGG